CATTATTATTATTACTATTATTATTATTATTATTATTATTATTATTTTGTATAAAGGTATTTATGTCTTTAAAACCTATTCCATTTCTATTCTTTTAACCAACCAAACACTGGAATACAATTACTAAAGTCTATTCCTTCAGCCAACCAAACAATAGAATACAATTCATATTCTATTGCTTACCTATTCCATTTCCTGTGGAATAGTATTCCTATTCCCTCCAAATTCATTCCGTGAACCAAACGTGATGTAGATGTTTTTTAGATTAATATTTAATATTTTAGTAGGGAAAATGGCACTTTTTACCCCTGAGTTATATACTTATAGCACTTTTTCCCCCTCAATTATTTAGGTAAGCACATTAGCCCCCTCAATTATTCTAAAAGTGGTGCCTTTTCCCCCTAATATATTAAATTGACATTTATACCCTTAAAGTAAACATTTTATTTATTATATTACTCCAACAAATTATTGTGTATACGTAGGGATGACCACGGTTCGGTTTGAATTGAACCGGATACTAAAGCAATCGAATTAATAGTTTACGGTTATAATTCAGATCTAGAACCCAATATTTAAATGTCAATTTATTAAAATTATGTATCAAAAATTGAATCTTGAACCGTGAACCGGCGGTTCTGGATCTGATTCGCGATTTTGAACCGTCTTTATTTTAAAATTTTATTTTTTATTTTAAAATAGTCTAAATTCAACAATAAATGTATTTTATTTTTTCAGTTCGGAACATGAACCGTCCATTCCGGTTCACGATTTTCATAAACTCTAAATATCGAATTTCGATTCTAAATTGTAATTGGAATATTTCGGTTTGGTTGCTATAGTGTTTGTTTAGTTTGAACCAAATTATGGTCATAATTTGTTGGAAAAAAAATAAATTAAATATTTAGTTTAAGGGTAAATATGTCCATTTAACATTTCAGGGGGGAAAACAACCACTTTAATAATTTAGGGGGGAAAAATGCTATAGGTATATAACTCAAGGGGAAAAAGTGCCATTTTCCCTATTTTAGTATTATCTATTAAAGGATTAAACAGTTTATAATTATCAAGTCTTAAAAAATTAAAAAAATTTAAACAAATTTTTAAAAAAATAAAAAATACACGGGCGCCTAAGGGTCGATTAATCCTCGCCTAGACGCTAGGCGCTCCCGAGGCCTAACGATTTTTTCAATCATGACTGCAAGTATAGAATGTGTCAACTATAGATACAGAATATTAAGGTTATTTTTGGACTAGGGTCTTCAATGCAAGGTAGATCGTGGTCCATGGTATAATTTCCTTTACACATTAAGCAATTGAACTATCAAACAAAAAAGTGTACAATTGGACTATTAAAAACTCAAAAATTGTGCAAATAGCATTTTTTATAACTTACTTCCAAGTTTAATTTCCCTAAAATATAATGTCATAATGTCAAATTATATATAAAAAATTATTTTAATTATTATTAAAAAAAAACAATTTTATAAAAAAAATCATAAGAATGTGGAGGCAGCCATGACTGCACAGGTTTGCTTCTTGGTTTTCAATTTTGTTGATGCATTGATGTGTGATTTTTTAACTGAATCCTCTCTATCAATTTGCAGGATTCTTTGGTCGGGGCCGCCAAAGAGTAAGTAAGTTCGCTAAGTTACATGATTTCACAAGCCACAAAATGAGAATGCAGTACTTACATAGACATTTTCCTTTTATGCATTATGTGATCTTCATGAGACATTATTTATCCTTTGATATGTTTGTCTTGTTCTTAAAAGTATTAGTTCTCTTTATTTTCGAACAATTTTTATTTTTGTACTCTACTTGGGTGTAGCAATATACTTGATTTTCTATATTACAGCATTGTATGTAGTCATGTGCTACTTGCCCACTTTATACATAATTTTTGAGTTTTAATGGTCCAATTGTACACTTTTTTTGTTCAATGATTCAATTGCACAATGTATAAACAATGTATAAAAGTTAAGTGGCCTAATTGACACTTTTTCCATTTATTTTCTATATATTTGATACCAACTTTCTTTCCGAAATACGTTACTATTTATTTTCTCCATCTCATTTCATTTTGTCCATTTTGCATGATATATTTTTTTTCATATCAATGTAAAACACAATATTGGTCAGGCAATTAGAAAACTAGCCAGTGTGTATAGAGATACATACATACATATAGGGTATGGTTTCCGTGTCATTAGGTATGCATGCATAAATGCATCATAACGTGTTCAGAAATGCATCAAGGTGAAATTAAATGCAAAAATGCACCACACCTTGAGACTGATGTGTGAGACTGATGTGCAGTCATGCATTACCACGTGTTCAGAAATGCAGTAGTTAGATTTATTGTTTTATGTTTTTCTTGAATTCAGTTACGTACAAGTCGTATTGTTACCTTTTTCCAATTCAATCTGTTGAAGAGGGCAGGGCAATATAAATAAGTGCACTTTGATCGAGTTCATTATCTTCCATAAATGTATGCCTTCCATAAAAATATATATGCATTCTCTTTTGCAAAACTTATTTAAAATCTTATAATTATTTTCCACTAAGAGTAATAAGTTTTAGACACTGTATCAATTGGTATGAATGCCTTAAAATCAAAACGTTGATGTTAATTGTGTTTCAAACTTTTAAACTAACAAAATACATATATACGATATGATTTGAGTTCATCTTGCAAGATGAACCATGATCTAAGATATAACAACTATAATGTCTTACTTGACACAAATGTAATTAATCTTGTGTGTAATCTTTTATATGAGAACCAACTGAACTACTCTGAGTAGTCTAGTTGACTAGCTGACAAACCTATGATGAGAGCAAAAAATATATATAGCAATATTGAATTTTTAATGAATAATTAAAAATCATTACCCATATTACACTGTTGGAAATCTTTTCGACCACCTTTTCAATCACTTGAAAAAAGGACAACAAAGGTTTTTTCGGATATCAAAAGTTGTCGGAACAAGAGCTTCCGACTTGATTTAATATCAGTTTCAGGTGATCGAAAATTTCTTGATTTTCAGCCGTGTTAATTTTATTTTTTTTTAAAAAATTAAATAAATTTTACAAAGTAGAGTTTTTTCCACTTTTAGTCCTATGACTTTAGTGTCTCCGTCAACTTAGGTTCATAACTTTCATTCCTGACATAAGTAGTGCTTGACTTTGATTTTTTTTCCATTTTTAGTCCTTCCGGCCATCTGAGCAGTAAGTTCCGATTGGAATTAATGAATTGTCTTGTATATTTAGATTTTAGAAGGGTAAATAAGTCTTTCACCATCAATTTAAAATAAACCAAAAGAAAAAAAATTAAAGTTAAATGAATTGCCTTGTACCCCACTCCGCTGCTTCGTCTTTCTTCGTCATCAACAACAACAACACATTTCATAGAAACTCAGCCCCCCTCCCTCTCTCTGATCTCTCCTTCGTATTTTTCATTCTTCCTCTGTGAAACTTTAAAAAAAGAAAAAAAAAACTCATATTTTTCATTCTTCCTCTGTGAAACTTAAAAAAAAAAAAAAAAAAAAAAAAAAAAAAAAAACTCATATTCTTCACAGACACGCAGTCCCCTTATTGCAATTGAAAGTGTTGGTTTTTTCTTATGAAATGACTTGCTGCATAGCTGCAATATATTCTTATTTGATATGTATCTTTTATTTGATATGTATTAAAAATTCTTATTTGATTAGCCCACCAATTGCAAACATTCAAGAATCCAAAATTTCATTCTACGAACAACTCTTAATAAAAATAAAGTATAATATTACAGATAAATATATGCAGAGCAAAAACTCTCTTGTTAAACCAGTCATACTAGTTCAACAGATATGCCTCTGTTTTTTTGTTTTTTTTTTTTTTTGTTTTTTTTTTAAAGTTTCGCGAGGTAGAAGGAAAAATTTGAAGGAGAGTGACTGTGAGAGAGGGAAGGGGGGTTGATGACGAAGAAAGACATAGCAGCGGAGTGGGGTACAAGGCAATTCATTAACTTTAATTTTTTTTCTTTTGTTTATTTTTAATTGATGTTGAAAGACATATTTACCCTTCTAAAATTTAAATATATAAGACAATTCATTAATTTCGATCGGAACTTACCGCTCAGATGGCCGGAAGGACTAAAAATGGAAAAAAAAACAAAGTCAAGCACTACTTATGTCAGAAATGAAAGTTATGAACCTAAGTTGACGGAGACACTAAAGTCATAGGACCAAAAGTGGAAAAAACTCTTACAAAGTATGCATTTCTTGAAGCGAATTAAAAATTCGGATGTGCAGAATTTTACAAGTTGGTCATATTGTCAGCTTATAATCACAAGATTTTAAGTTTAACTCGGATAGCGGTCTATTGATTTTTTTAGTTTGAACCGGTCAGCTATGAACAATTTGCTAGGTTAGTCATCTTTATGGCCCTTTGTTAGTAAAGGTCACAAGATGAGATTTATCCAGTTTAGATTTTTAGATTATAGTTGCAGGTTTCGGTGTCACTTAAAAGAAAGAAAAAAACCTGCATGTGCGATTGGTTGGCCTGTGATCGATGTTCTCGAGAGATGAAACTCCAAATTCACCTTCAATTCCTGGCAGCCAGCCGGCTTTCTTGAAAATTTCACTCAAAAGCTAAGGCCTTTGTCTTTTGCTATTATCACAATCCACCCTCAAACTGCTGCTTATTTCTCATAACTCACTCTTGCATGTACCTACCTACCTAGCTCAAACTTGCAATTGCATTTTAATTTCCCATTGAAGAAATCCCAGAAAAAGAGTGAATTGAGATGGCTTATGTTGCTTTAACTTCTCTAAAGACAACAATTGTGACGGAAAGGGAAAAACTGAACGTGAAAAAGGAAAAGCTTACTGCATTGTTTCATCTGTTTTGCGTAAAAAAAGAATACAGCTGGAAGGAAAAAAAAAAAAAAACTATAGCTATATACAAGATGCACATGGGGAAGAACGGTTGAAACAGAATACAACTGAAAAAGGACTTTAGTGCCCCTCTTGACTGTTGTCCTTAATGCCCTTCTTGGCTTCTTTCAACACCCCCACATAAGTTGGCACATGCAGATCCTGAATGCCCAACTTAGAGAAGAAGAATTTGAACAGAGTAATGGGAAGAGGCTTTGTGAAGCCGTCTGCAACTTGGTTTGAGGACGAGATAGGTAGGAGCTTGATCAAGCCGTTAGATACTTTCTCCCTAACCAAGTGGCAATCTATCTCGATGTGCTTCATCCTTTCGTGAAAGACTTGGTTCTCTGCTATAGCTACTGCCGACTTATTATCGCAGAATACAACTGCTGCTCTTTGCATAGGCATTTGTAGGTCTGATAGTAAGTATGTGATCCATTGAACTTCACAAACAGTAGAGGCAAGCGCTCTGTATTCTGCCTCGGAGGATGAACGTGAGACTGTCACTTGCTTCTTTGATTTCCAAGAGATAAGAGCGGAGCCGAGAAAAATGCAATAACCTATTATAGAGCATCGTGTTTCGATACATGAGGCCCAATCCGAGTCTGAGAAGACATTGAGCTGTAAGTCATCCCCTTTGGCGTAGAACAGCCCTTGCCCAGGCGCACTTTTGATGTACCGGAGAACTCTGTGGGCAGCACTCATATGTTTATCGGTTGGGGCATCAATGAACTGGCTCAGTTGATGTACAGCATATATGATATCTGGCCTGATGGCGGTGAGGTATAAAATTCTACCAATGAGCCTTCTATAACTACTAACATCGCTGAGTAACTCCCCATCACTATGCTGTAAATGGTAGCCGGGCACCATTGGCATGTTGGCTGGCTTACATTCAAGGAATCCTGCCTCGGAGAGGATGTCAAGGGCGTACTTTCTTTGGCAAAGATTCAGACCCGAGGCATCTCTTTTTGCCTCAATTCCTAAGAAGTAGCCTAGCTCTCCCAGGTCTTTAATTTTGAAAGCATCATCAACGTATAGTTTGAGATCATCAATCAACTGTAAATCCGGACTAGTGACTAATATATCATCGACGTAGACAAGAACGGCAATGAATCTGTCATCTTTTCCTTTGGTAAACAAGGACGGATCCGCCTTGGACTGCTTGAAACCCATGCTAGATAAGGCTGCACTTAGCTTGGCGTTCCACTGCCGGCTTGCTTGCTTAAGGCCGTAGAGAGAACGAAGTAACCTGCAGACTTGGTTTGGTTTCTCGGTGTGAAAACCGGGAGGCAACAACATGTATACTTCTTCTGTTAAGTCACCATGTAGGAAAGCGTTGTTGATGTCTAATTGATGAATGTTCCAAGCTCGAGAGGATGCCACAGCTAGGAAGGTTCTGATTGTCGTAATTCTAGCAACCGGAGAGAAGGTTTCAATGTATTCAATTCCTAATTGTTGAGTGTAACCTTTTGCTACAAGACGTGCTTTGTATCTTTCAACCGATCCGTCTGCCTTCAACTTGACCTTATAAACCCACTTGCAGCCTATGGGTATTTTTCCGGGGGGTAACAGTCAGCTCCCAGGTGTTGTTATCTTGGAGAGCCTGTATTTCTACATTCATAGCTTCTTTCCAGTGATCACACTTGATAGCTTGGTTATAGGTCTTTGGTTCATCAATAGTTGTCACAGCCATGGAGAAGGCCTTATGTGATGGAGCTAGAGTGTCAAAGGTGATCAACTTAGATAGATGATGAGGAGATGAGCCTCTGTTAACTACGGCATCGCAGTAGTAGTCCTGAAGCTTGTGGGGAATCCGTCTCTGTCTGTCAGAGCGTCTGGGCTGTTCAACATCAATAAGGTTACCACTGGACTCAAGATCTCTATGTGGCTCTTGCGTGGCATGATCATGCTGTTCAGACTCTTCTATATGGACAATCAGATCAGTTGTAGGGACTTCATCACTGGCAGCATGATGCAAAGGAGGGGAATTCCTGTCTTCTGCTGGACTGAAGACATCTTGGAGAGACATGTTACTGGGAACATGCAATTCAGGAGGTTCATATGCCAAGGGAGTATCAATGGGTATCACTGGGAGTGAAGGCCCAACAGATTGTGGTTCAATGCTATCTGAAATTTTCTCAACTTTGGAGAAGGGAAACTGCAATTCATAAAAACTTACATCTCTGGATATGAAAATAATCTTCTCATGCAAATCAAATAACATATATCCTTTCGTATGAGCAGGAATCCCAACAAAAACACATTTCTTGCTTCGTTGTGCCATCTTGTGTCTAGAATGAGATAAATTTGAAGCATAGCAAAGACAACCAAACACTTTTAGATTCATCAAATCTGGATTCTTACCATATAATCTGTAATAGGGGTTTGAGAGCTCAATAACCGGAGAGGGCAATCTGTTGATTAGGAACACGGCATGCATGACACATTGTCCCCAAAACTCAATAGGAAGTGAAGCTTTGAATCGAATGGCCCTTGCTACATTGAGTATATGTTGGTGTTTGCGTTCCACAACCGCGTTTTGCTGTGGTGTGTAGGCACAAGATTTTTGATGGATGATCCCTTTCTTGGCATAGAATTCCTCCATACTAAACTCCGCTCCATTGTCAGTTCGGATTACTTTGATCAAAGCCCCAAACTGAGTAAAGACCATAGCATGAAAATTCATTATATGTTGTCTAACTTCAGTCTTTCTTTTCATTAAATGAAGCCAAGTGAACCGGGAGTAATCGTCGACTAATGTTAGAAAATAATGTTCTCCTTGTAATGACCAAACCAGGAAAGGCCCCCATATATCTGCATGTATTAAATCGAAACATCCTTTCGTGGTTGTGACACTCAACGGGAAAGGAGATCTTTTGTGTTTGGCAAAATGACATGCATCACAAGAAAAATTTTTGATGACAGAGGCTTTAATATCATTCAAGAAGTGTAGTTTATTCATTGGAAAATGACCTAGTCTTTGATGCCAAATTTCAGCATTATTACAAGTTGCTGCAACACTTCTATGAACAACATCCTGCATCTTTGGTGAATCCAACAGTAAGTATAAACCATTCACAAGTATAAGCAACTAGTTTTTCCCAAAAGCTCATTAAATCCACACACAAATTTTTACAATCATAAGTAGTATGTCCAAAATACATCACAAGCACAACGGGTTACCAAAAATACAAGGGTCAAAGGGAATATCCAAAAGAAACAAACATTCGTGATAAGCTCCAACACTAGGACTAAGTCTCCTAGTTTCAAAAGTCACCTTCGAGACCCCACCACTTGTGCTCATGCTATTCACATGTCCTTACTACTCTGAAACACGAGAAAATAAAATACAAATAATGAGCTAATGCACAGTAAGTGATACTCCTCTCAATCCCGGATCAAGTAACCTCAAAATAATACAAAAAGCTTTAGAGTAATAACTCGATGCAAAGCTCGATCTTTAAACTATATCGAAGTCATAATATACTTTCATCATACTATACACAAGTTCACAAAGCAAGAAACTTTAGCTACATGGGCATCAACAATATTTCATAATACAATACTTTCAAAAGCACAAACCATTCCTTAACATATGACCCATTGGCAATCTACAACCACCATTATATTCTGTGGCACATGCCATTATCGGTATAATGGTTCAAAAAGACTCGACGATTCGGAATGAGTCAGGCTCGACGATTCAGAATGAGCCGGATGGAACGTTCCAATAAATAATTCAAAAGACTCGACGATTCGGAATGAGCAATTAGGAACGTTCCAAGCCAAACAAAACAAACAACAAAATGTAGGTTGCCTCATGAGTTTGATCAAATAATCAAAATAGTTCTTACAATCAAATAGCCCGATGTAGCAAAAATCATTTCCTTAAAATCACATAACAAAGTACATATTCCCAAAATAGATAATAAGTTTATCAATCTAAGAAATATACAAGGTATAAACCATTCTCAAAATAATAATTTTCTTAGTACATAACTCTTTATAAATCATAGAATAGTTTATTAAACCAAAGTAATTTCAAGGGGTTTGAAATTGCTTAGTTGGAAAGAACTTAATTAATAAGCATGAGGTTAAGAGTTCGAGTCTCACTTTAAATAAATAATTCATTTTATAAGCATATATTACATATATAAAACAAATATAAGGCATATAGCAAGCAAAATCAAACCCAAGACCAACCACCATCAGCACAACAGCCATAAACCATTCTACCATCACTACACATGATGATAATTTCAGTCAGAAATCTATAATAGAACATCTCCTGTCCAAAAAACACAACTCTCACAAACCAGAAACATTTTCAGTCCAATACTCAACATTTCCCGGGCAAAAACAGAATTCTGAAACACTGTTTTGGCAGATATTTCCAGTCCAAAAACCCAATTCAAAACTTCAATATAAAACCCCAAAACACAAGTTTAATATATAGATAGGGCAAAAATGATTTCGGGAGACAAACACTTACAAACTTCAGCTAAGCATTTCAGACCCAATACATATCATAGTCCAAATTTTGTTTTAATTCATACTAACCCTTAAATGGAAATTCAAGTAGTAGAGATTATTCCACAATAAGTTATGGGTTTTGCAAAATAAGGAGAGAAGAGTTAATCACTTACCTAAAAACATCCAAATCTTAGCTATTAAGCTCGCCCAAACACTCTTTGTCAAAATCCATAATATTTTCAAACATTAATCTTAGGGCTCAAATGATAAGCCCAACTTAAAGAGTGAAATATAGAGGTCAAACTTACCTAGAATACTCCAATAGCTTTGAGATCTAAGCTTGAAGAAGATGGAGATCAAAGCTCCAAGGTTTTCCCTTCCCCTATCTCTCTCTAGTTAGCTCCCCTTATCTTCTTTCAAATGAAATGTTTATCCAAGACCAAAGTGGTTCCTTAACCTTTAAGGGTAAAGAGTGGTAATTTAGTAAATTCATCCAATATCAATTTTAATAACCTTTGACTTGTTGACCTATTTTAATAACATAGGTATATTTTTATTTCTAAGATAGTGGGTATTACAATCTCCCCACCTTACAATAAGTTTCGTCCTCGAAACTTACATACCATCAAACTTGAAGAGTTTAGGATATCTATCTTTCATATCATCATCCTTTTCCCATGTTGCTTCTCTTGGAGTATGATGTGAACATTGTACTTTAACACATGGGATTACCGGGACCTCAACACTTGTTCCTTCAGATCAATGATGCGAAGTGGTACTTCGTCATAAGTTAGGTCATCCCTAACTTGTAGTGGTTGATACTCCACCTACTCTTGAAATCCAAGGAACAAGCTCGAAGCATATCCTCCAAGGTCAGAATAGTCCTCTCAGTTTGCCCATCTGTTTGTGGATGAAATGCAGTGCTTAATTTTAATTTAGTCCCCATGGATCGTTATAAGCTTCTCCAAAATTTTGACACAAATCTAGAGTTCCGGTCAGATACTATACTAACAGGTAAACCATGCAACCTTACAACTTCATTCTCATACAACTCAGCTAGGTCTTCTTAATGGGTAGAAAATGTGTAACCTTAGTGAGTCGATCCACAATAACCCAAATTGTATTTTTCCCATGCTGACTATTCGGTAATTCACTCACAAAATTCATAGATATATATATGTTCCCAATTCCAATGAGGTATCTCTAAGAATTTCAATAATCTTGCAGGTCTTTGGTGCTCAACTTTAACGTACTTGTTGACATACCATGCATCTAGCCACAAAGTTAGCAATATCCCGCTTCATACCACTCCATCATAAATTATTTCTCATATTTCTATACATTTTGGTAGCACCTGGATATACCAAGAAGTGAGACTGATGGGCCTATTTTAAAATATCCTTCATTATCTCAACATCATTCGGAATGCATAGTCGGGACTTGAAATATAGAGATCCATCATCTTAATTACCGAACTCTTTTGAGTCACCCGCTTGATTTTTTTTTCCCCACGAATCTTAATCAACATGGGCAACTTTAGTGCGATCTAATAATACCGGTTTTGTAATCATAGTTTCCAATATCCCTCCATGCTTATTTTGCAAAATAACCTCAACTTCTAAATCTTGAAAATCTTTCAACAATTGGGTTTGAGTAGTTACCACTATCACATAAAACGTGAAAAACTTACAACTTAAAGCACCAGCTACCATGTTAGCTTTACATGGATGATAATTAATAGTGAGGTTATATATTCTTTTATTAGCTCCAACCATCATTGTTGTCTCATGTTCATTTCCTTTTGGGTAAAGAGGTACTTCAAACTCTTATGGTCTGTAAATATTTGACAAGATTCTCCATACAGGTAGTGCCTCCAAATTTTTAAAGCAAATACCACAGCTGCTAGTTCTAAGTCATGAGTGGGGTAGTTAACTTCATGGGACTTCAATTGTCAAGAGGCATAGGCTACCACCTTATCATTTTGCATCAACACATATCCTAATCCTCTTCTTGATGCATCACTATAAATAACAAATCTTTCTTCCCCAGATAGTAGGGCTAAGATAGGTGCACTAACCAATAATTCCTTTAATTCTTGAAAGTTCTTCTCACACTCCTCATCCCAATTAAACTTTATACCCTTCCGAGTTAACCGAATCAATGACATATTTATTAATGAGAAGTCTTTCACAAATCTCCTGTAATAACCTGCTAAACCCAGAAAACTCTTTACTTTTGTAACATTAGTGGGTCTCGGCCATTGTGTTATTGCTTCAACCTTAGTTGTGTCTACAGAAATCCCGTCTCTAGAAATTACATGACCAAGAAAAGATACATCCTTACATCAAAATTCACATTTACTTAGCTTGGCATACAATTCATTTTCCTTCAAGGTGTGCAAGATGGTCCTTAGATGTTGAGCATGTTCTTCCACACTCTTTGAATATTGCGAAATGTCATCAATAAATACCACAACAAATTTGTCCAGAAATGACTTGAGGACCCTATTCATTAAATCCATAAAGAAAGTAGGAGCATTAGTTAGTCCGAACGGCATCACCAAAAATTCATAATGGCCATACCAGGTCCTAAAAGTAGTCTTGGGTACATCACTAGCTTTAACCTTCAATTGATGGTACCCTAATCTCAAATCAATTTTTGAAAGGTATTTAGCACCTTGAATTGGTCAAATAAATCATCTATGTGAGGTAGAGGATACTTGTTCTTGACAATAACTTTATTCAATTTCCAATAGTCAATACACAACCGCAAGCTACCATCATTTTTCTTCACATATAACACTAGTGCACCACAAAAAGATACACTAGGTCTAATAAATCTCATATCAGGCAATTCTTGCAATTGCACCTTTAACTCACGTAGCTCAAACAGTGACATGCGATAAGGGGCCTTTGAGATTGGAGTAGTTCCGGGAACCTCTATTTCAAACTCAATTTCTCTAATTGGAGGTAATCCAAGTAAATGCTCTAGGAACACATCCGAAAATTCCTTAACAATTGGGATATCATCTAACTTAACTTCTTTCTGGTGGGTATCCATTACATAAGTCAAGAAACCGCTACACCCTTTTGGCCGTTTCTCAATTCTTTCTTAGCTTTCAATGCAGAAATTACTTTGAATGGCACTATCGACTCCAACATTCTGCTCCTAGGAAAGTGTCTCAAAGTAAAGATAGATTGTCCAGGAATTTGAAATACCATTTTTCTACGAGCGCCATCAATATAGGCATAGTTTTTTTTTTTTTTTTTGCCAGTCCATTCCTAATATCACATCAAAATCCTGCATATCTAGTCGAATTAAATCAATTGACACATCACTTCCCTTAAGTTGTAGAGGACCATCTTGAAACCAAGTATCTGTCACCATAATTTTCCCTATAGGGGTATTAACATACAAAGGTTCGCCCAAATTCTTAGCTTGCAAATTAAAATTCTTTGCAAACTTATCATAAATAAAACAATGCAAAGAACCTGAATCACACAGCACGTAAGCATTCACAACTATGTTCTGATTAGGCGACATGTTTATCAACAACCTAACTTGACGAGTTCGACCACGAGTAGGAACAACCCTCCTAATCATAGTAACACAACAGTTCCTAAATTCACAACAGAGAAGGTATGAACACATTAGCAAAAATATTCAGGAAACCACATCCAAAACTCCCTCAAAGCCTAAACTTATCTTCAGCTAGGTTAAAGCCTAATCTTGCAAAAATTCAAACTTAACTTCTTGACCAACTAAGGATTTTAACCTAGGCTCTGATACCACTCTGTCACGCCCCACTTCTAGAACATGACCCGACCGTACCGTTACATGAAAACTTGTAACAATACGAAGCCTAACCGCACGTATCTCTCGAAACCTTCATAACAACACTTAAATACATAACAATTCCACAACCCAAAATGACAAAATATAAGCAACTAGTTCTTCCCAAAAGCTCATTAAATCCACACACAAATTTTTACAATCATGAGTAGTATGTCCAAAATACATCACAAGCACAACGGGTTACCAAAAATACAAGGGTTAAAGGGAATATCCAAAAGAAACAAACATTCGTGATAAGCTCCAACACTAGGACTAAGTCTCCTAGTTTCAAAAGTCACCTTCGAGACCCCACCACTTGTGCTCATGCTATTCACATGTCCTTACTACTCTGAAACACGAGAAAATAAAATACAAATAATGAGCTAATGCCCAGTAAGTGATACTCCTCTCAATCCCGGATCAAGTAACCCCAAAATAATACAAAAAGCTTTAGAGTAATAACTCGATGCAAAGCTCGATCTTTAAACTATATCGAAGTCATAATATACTTTCATCATACTATACACAAGTTCACAAAGCAAGAAACTTTAGCTACATGGGCATCAACAATATTTCATAATACAATACTTTCAAAAGCACAAACCATTCCTTAACATATGACCCATTGGCAATCTACAACCACCATTATATTCTGTGGCACATGCCATTATCGGTATAATGGTTCAAAAAGACTCGACGATTCGGAATGAGTCAGGCTCGACGATTCAGAATGAGCCGGATGGAACGTTCCAATAAATAATTCAAAAGACTCGACGATTCGGAATGAGCAATTAGGAACGTTCCAAGCCAAACAAAACAAACAACAAAATGTAGGTTGCCTCATGAGTTTGATCAAATAATCAAAATAGTTCTTACAATCAAATAGCCCGATGTAGCAAAAATCATTTCCTTAAAATCACATAACAAAGTACATATTCCCAAAATAGATAATAAGTTTATCAATCTAAGAAATATACAAGGTATAAACCATTCTCAAAATAATAATTTTCTTAGTACATAACTCTTTATAAATCATAGAATAGTTTATTAAACCAAAGTAATTTCAAGGGGTTTGAAATTGCTTAGTTGGAAAGAACTTAATTAATAAGCATGAGGTTAAGAGTTCGAGTCTCACTTTAAATAAATAATTCATTTTATAAGCATATATTACATATATAAAACAAATATAAGGCATATAGCAAGCAAAATCGAACCCAAAACCAACCACCATCAGCACAACAGCCATAAACCATTCTACCATCACTACACATGATGATAATTTCAGTCAGAAATCTATAATAGAACATCTCCTGTCCAAAAAACACAACTCTCACAAACCAGAAACATTTTCAGTCCAATACTCAACATTTCCCGGGCATAAACAGAATTCTGAAACACTGTTTTGGCAGATATTTCCAGTCCAAAAACCCAATTCAAAACTTCAATATAAAACCCCAAAACACAAGTTTAATATATAGATAGGGCAAAAATGATTTCGGGAGACAAACACTTACAAACTTCAGCTTAGCATTTCAGACCCAATACATATCATAGTCCAAATTTTGTTTTAATTCATACTAACCCTTAAATGGAAATTCAAGTAGTAGAGATTATTCCACAATAAGTTATGGGTTTTGCAAAATAAGGAGAGAAGAGTTAATCACTTACCTAAAAACATCCAAATCTTAGCTATTAAGCTCGCCCAAACACTCTTTGTCAAAATCCATAATATTTTCAAACATTAATCTTAGGGCTCAAATGATAAACCCAACTTAAAGAGTGAAATATAGAGGTCTAACTTACCTAGAATACTCCAATAGCTTTGAGATCTAAGCTTGAAGAAGATGGAGATCAAAGCTCCGAGGTTTTTCCTTCCCCTATCTCTCTCTAGTTAGCTCCCCTTATCTTCTTTCAAATGAAATGTTTATCCAAGACCAAAGTGGTTCCTTAACCTTTAAGGGTAAAGAGTGGTAATTTAGTAAATTCATCCAATATCAATTTTAATAACCTTTGACTTGTTGACCTATTTTAATAACATAGGTATATTTTTATTTCTAAGATAGTGGGTATTACAGACTATATGGTCTGTAGTTCCAGAGTCAAGGATCCAAGTAGAAGGTGATAAGATAGCAGAATTAACATAAGTGGAAGAATACTTGTCGTTACCTCCAGAACTATCTTCGTTGAAGTTGGGAACCAATGAGACAGTCCCCATGGTTTTCTGATTCGATTTCTGATTCGAAGACTGTCCGATCTGGGCTTGGAGAAGAGAGATCAGTCTCTCCAACTGATCAGAGGTCGTTCCTGAGGGCTCAACAGTGCTAGAAGATGAGCTCACAGCTGTAGTTTGCTTCCCTTTCGATTTGTATCCCGGAATCCATCTCGGAGGATTGACGAGAACGAGATTAGTGTTGTCATTCGCATTTAGGAGAAGAGGATTTTCCAGGCTATAGTTTCTTGGTTGAGAGATCAGATTCCGCTGCGGAATCATCGTAAAAGATGGCCACGCCGGCGAGCGATTGACTGGCGAAGCTACATGCCTGTCTTGACTTGGCTCACCGGAGACAGCGCCGGTTCAACTACTGCACCGTGGAGGCTCTGATACCATGACGGAAAGGGAAAAACTGAACGTGAAAAAGGAAAAGTTTACTGCATTGTTTCATCTGTTTTGCATAAAAAAAGAATACAGCTGGAAGGAAAAAAACACTATAGCTATATACAAGATGCACATGGGGAAGAACGGTTGAAACATAATACAAATGAAAAAGGACTTTAGTGCCCCTCTTGACTCTTGTCCTTAATGCCCTTCTTGGCTTCTTTCAACAAATTGAGCTTCACTTTCTGCAACCCATCCCAAGAGTTCCTCTTCATCTTCATGATGATCAAGTAGCATCCATCATCAAATCTTTCTATGAAAACCTTTCTTCATTGCAGGCCTTTCTGGAATATAAATCCAGTGTCGGTGGTGCTGCAATCAAATATTTTGGAACCCTAATAAGAGACTTTGCACTCAAAGTTGAAGATGACATCGAAATACAGCTAAGCAACTTTGTTGTGGCCAAAGCCAAAGATGACGTAGTGCATGAAGAAGCAGCTTCCCAGCAACTGTGTCAAATCTTGCAATAACCACAAGAAAAGACTGCAGATGTGATGGAGATTATCAACAGCGGAGAAGAGTATCATAAGGGAAAGAATGATGATTTAACTTATCTCAAGCGACTAGTAGATCATCATATGATGTCTATACAATCCAACGGGAGGAGCGTGGGTTATGATCAAATTCAAACCCTATTCAAATCTCTCATTCAAAGTCTTTCTTCTTTGCGACAATTATTTTCTCATATTCGTGCTCCTGCTACAATCAAATATTTGGAAACCAAAATAGGAGATTTAGTTGAAGATGAGATCACGATACACTTGAGCAGTTTTGTTCTGGCCAAAGACGGGACATAGCAACAAATGTGTAGATTTGACATGAATGAGACAAAAATGTGTTGATTCAAAACCCAAGACAAAAATGTGTAAAGTACTAATGTCATTACCTTCTTTTCAAAACCCTATTTGAAAAGAGGTAATTGGACTACCTTCTTCTATTTTTTTTTTTTTGCTTTGGCCAAAAATGCCACAAACTTTTCACATTCTTTTTTAATTTTTTTTTTACTATTTTGCCCTTGCTTCTTTTTTTATAATTCCAAATGTATCATTTATTTGTTTTGTATGTAATTTTTTATTTTGTTAAATACTTATATTTAAAGTTTGTATTATTAAATATAAATTATACCATATTAAATATCTCATTGAGACGATCGAAAAAGACTAATATTGAATATATATTAATTAAAATTTCAAATACATCAAACATAACTAGAACATAATAAAAATTAAAATACATACTACATAGTATTGATATTAGAAAATAGAACACAATTTTCAAAAATATTGTGAAATTCATTAAAAATAATCATTGTTATAAATAATTAATTAATGTTAATAAAAATTACTGCCGCCGTCAAAATTTGTTTTGTTTTCGATTAATTATTGGTTACTCCGTATTAGTTTTAATTGATCAATTTGCGGTCAAAATTTTTTCGTAATTTGATAAACTAATTATGAACGTTCAAAATTTCTTCGATGAATTGATTTTAAATGGGTTATGAAAGCTAAATTGGTGGTGAGCATTCTTATCGGAAAAAAAAAAAAAAAAAAAAGACAAAATCGATAACCGATATCAAATGGATCGATTTTTTTTGTTTTGTTTTCGATCCATTATCGTTACTCCGTATTAGTTTTATTATGTTCTAGTTATATGTGATGTATTTGAAATTTTAATTAATATATATATATTCAATATTAGTCTTGTTTCGATCGTCCCAATGAAATATTTAAAATGGTATAATTTATATTTAATATAAATTTTAAATATAATTATTTAACAAAATAAAAAAAATTACATATAATTGAGGTGAGAGAAGAAGGTATTCTTAATACCTTCTTCTCTTTCTTTTTGGCTTGTCAGCTTTTCTACTTTTTTTTTTTGTTTTTTTTTTTTTTTTTTTTTTTGTTAAAGAAGGTAACCTAATTACCTTCTTCTCCTAAATCCTAATAAGAAGAAGGTAATCAGATTAGTACTTTACATATTTTAGTCCACATTTTTCTTTCTACCTATTTTTGTCTCTTCCTTGTCAAATCTGCACAAAAAAGTCAACAACCCGGCCAAAGACACAGTGGATGAAGAAGAAGCATCCTCGGAACTGTGTCAAACCTTGAAACAAGTGGAAGAAAAGAGAGTAGAGCTAGAGGAGAGACTGAAGACTTATGAATGTTGTGATGATTTAACTAATCTCATGACAACATTTATGTCTTTGCAACCCAACACAAGGGTGTCTGACGACGTAAAAACAACACTAGGATCTCTCGAACACACGCTCGTTGATTTGCAAATGTTTCTACAGAAATCCAATTTTGGTGCAGCTGAAATCACAGACTTTGTACTCAAAGCTAAAGAAGACCTCGAACAACAATTCAGAAACTTTTGTGTGGTCAAAGAGGAGCACCGCCTGGCAAAAGAAGCTACAGAACAACTCTTTCAAACCTTGCATCAAGTAACAGAAAACGCAGCAAAGCTGTTGAGCACTATCCACAACACAAGTAGAAGCAATGAAGCTGCTGAGGCCAATGATACTCAGTCTGTGTGCTATCCAAAGCTTGAGGAGGGCGGAAAAATGGTGGGTCGTCAAAATGATGTTAGTATCATAAAGAATCAACTATTCAGTAGCTTTAAAGATGTAAAAGTAATCCCAATTATTGGGATGCCAGGCATAGGGAAGACTACTTTAGCAAGAAAAATCTTGGAAGATCAAGAGGTTGCATTGCATTTCCAGGTACGAGGATGGGTTACAGTGACTCAAAATTACAATGAGACCAAAGTGCTACGCGACGTTCTCCAGTCAATTTCACCAAATCATGAAATTATAAAGGAAGACCCTCTTCGGGAGCAGGTTCGTGAATGCCTGAAGGAAAAGCGGTATCTAATTGTTTTGGATGACATATGGAGCGCTCAACATTGGGTTGGATTAAAAGAATTATTTTGCAATTCTGCAGTGAGTGGAAGTTGCATATTGCTGAGCACTAGATTCTATGGAGTGGTTGACTATGCCTGCCCAAACAAAGGTACATATCGTCATGTTATGAGTTTACTAGATCAAAATGAAAGTTGGGATCTATTCTGTACTGTCTTTCCTCTTCAAAGGTATAGTGCACCAAGTTTTGGAAAATTCAGGAGTCACTTGTTCCATGTTGTGGAAATATGTGAAGGATTGCCACTGTTAATTGTTGTAGTTGTGAAGCGCTTATCTGAATGCAAAAACAACATAAAACATGAATTGAAAAAGATTGAAAAGGAAATAGAATTGTTGGGAATTCTAGATTATAGTGCACTCACTCTCATGTACAATCAGTTGCCAGAATATTTCAAAGGTTGTTTTCTATATCTTGGAGTCTTTCCAAAGCGTAGTGAGATCCAAGTTAAAATACTTCTTAGGTTATGGATTGCTGAAGGAATTGTGAAGCCATGGAAGAATATGGAGTTAGAAAGGGTTGCTTATTGTTACTTAAACGACCTCATTGATAGGAGTCTTGTGTTAATAAGCAAACAGACTTTTGATGGCAAAATTAATACTTGCAGGGTGCACAATGTCATGCATAACATCTGTTTTTAGAGAGGCTCAGAAAGAGGGAATTTTATGTGCAGTAAATACTCGGAAACTTCCAATGTGGTCATTAAATGCTTTTGCAAATTCGTGTCGTTGGTTAAGTTTATGCAAACATAGGTTTGACTATTATGTGTTGTTTAGTTCAAACAACCCTCGCTCCATTTTCTTCTTTCAAGAAAACAGTGAAATTTTTGTATCCTTGAAGCTGTTAAGAGTTTTGGCATTTGTTCAATCTTCATTCCTCCAAAGATTGCCAATGCAATTAGGGGATTTGCTATTTTTAAGATATTTGTCATTAACACAATGGTTTGAGGGTCTTAGTGATGTTGTGTCAACTAATGTGAATTTGCAGACACTTGTTATTTCTGGAAGTGACAGTGAATCGCAACCTATTTTCCATTTGCCACCAACAATTTGGGAGTCACCACAATTAAAGCATCTTGAACTTGGCACTTGCTATGCTGTCAATCCTCCAAGCATGGTAAAAGAGAATTTGCTAACATTATCTTGGGTGGATGTGGATCCAAGTCATTGCGGCAAAAACAGACTGTATTCCAATTTTCCAAATATAGAAATACTAAAAATTTTCTATAAAGTAGACTTAGAGGCCAGCAAGATTAGTGGATGTTCCAGCAATTGCTTTATTGTGGATAAGTTGGGCCATTTAGAACGGCTACAGAGTTTAACAGTTTCAGTTTCGGTTGGGTGCATTGTAACCTTTCCTGAAAGGTGTATTATTTTTCCTTCACAACTGAAGAAGTTGAAGTTGAGTGGTACTCATCTTTCTGGGTGGGATTTTCTAGTAATTGGGAGGTTGCAATGGATTGAGGTACTAAAGCTGGAAAATGTGTTCCATAAAAGAGTATGGGAAGTAGCTGAAGGAGGATTCTATAGATTAAGATTGTTGGTCCTTAAAGATAAAAAGCTCAAAAGGTTGGAGGCTTACACAGATTCTTTCCCATGTCTTGATCACCTAGTCCTAAGATGTTGTGAGTGTTTGGAAGAGATCCCTAGCTGTTTTGGAGAAATTTTCTGCTTCAAGTCAATCAAAATGGATAGGTTTAGCCACCGCCCTTCCATTGTTGCTTCTGCTAGGATTATTCAAGAGAAGCTAAAGAAGAATTTTGGAAAAGAAAATTTTGAGGTTAGAAGGAAGCTCTGCCTTATTCATTCATTCTTAATTTTCTATTTTGTTGTTTCTTAGATGCGCTGAACTTGTGTGCAAAATCTGTTATTGTTTTGATAGATAAAAATGGAGGAGGAGGGTGAATCATCAGCAGGGGCAGGGGCAGGGGGGCAGATGGTAGAGGAAGAAATTGGAGTTGGGAAATTGAAGTCTTACATCCACAAATTAAACAAAACGAGATTCAGAAATCTGTTAAAGAGGCGCAACCCCAAAACTGGCTCTTCCAAGCAGATTCAGATTTGAGAAGAGCAACATGAGATAAGAGCAACTTGGAAGCTGCTATATATTACTCAAAGTATTGGAGATTTGGAGGTAAGGGGAACATATATGGTGTTGAAATGGAAAAAAACCGCTAGGCGCCTGGAGACCGCCTAGGCCGCCTAGGTGCCGATTAATCGGCGCCTAGGCGCGATTTTTGCAACACTGATCCATATAGTTGACCAAACTACACGAATTGAAGTTCATCAGATTAATTCCATATATATAATATGCATGCATGGAGTCAATTACATATATATTCAATTTTGGTGATGATGATGAGATGCTTAAATGGCAAGATCGAATTGCTGGTTTCTCCTGACTTCATTAACTAATCTTCAATCCAAACATATATTTCTTCTTGTTTGACACCCAAATGGTTTCTCATTTGCAGGAGCCCATTCTGTGTTCTGTTGTTGGACATAATACAAAGATGCAGCAGCATTCGGTGTATATATATGGTTTTGTCAATGTTGCATTCTGAAGGCTTTATATATATATGGATAGCTCAGGTTCAGGTATTTACTATATATCTTTATTTATGAGTTCATGATAGATATATCATATGTAGATAGAAAATCAGGAATACTGAAGAAGGAAAAGGCTCTTTAAATTGAAAGAAGAAGCATATAGACGAACGGAAAATAATGCTATGATTAACTAAATGCAGAAGAGTAGCAAATATACCTAACAAACTTGACTGACTAATAATCTGAATTATTACAATAATTGTGCTAACTTTATTAAATTAATTTTCGTAACATTCTCTTCCTTAAACTGAATTGATTTCAGTTTAGAGAAGAGCTTCCTTGGACTCCTATCTTGCTCCTTAACTTGAGGAATGATGCTGCATTGAGAGGCTTCGTGAAGAGATCTGCGTGCTGCTTGGTCGTATGACTTGCAGTGGACTAATGTAAGTTCACCATCTTCCACTAGTTCTCGCAAGAAACATGAATGTGTTTGGTTCTCCCGTGAAAAACTGAATTTTTGGATTGTTTAATTACAGAGCTATTATCACAAAACATTAAATCACCTAAATGCATTGACGCTCTTTGGAGGCATGGAGGTGAAAAAAAGGCCAAAACTCTTAGGAGCTTGAGAGGAACAAAAGTTGATCATCATTAAAGAAGAAAAGGGAGTGGGGGTTGTTAGTACTAAACAACACATAATAGTCAAAACTATGCTTGCATAAACTTAACCAACGACTCGATTTTGCAATCTCACTTAATGGCAATTATGAATGTTGTAGACTATTTACTGCATAGAAAATACCATCTCTTTGAGCTTCTCCAACACAAAAACAATGCAAGGCAATATCCATCCTACAACTCTTAATTTTTCCTTTAGAACTTGACTTGCATAGTAGGACAAGACTTCGATCTGACACTAATCTCTTGTAAATATGCATAACATTGATTTTCTAACTTTCTAAGCTCCAATGGCTTAAAAAATCCCTCAGCAATTCCATAGCCCAATAAAATTTTTAACTAGGACTTTTGTTCGTTTTGGAAAGACTCCATGATATAGAAAGCACACTTTTAAATCTTGCGACAGTTGATTGTAATTGAAGATGAGACCACTATGATCCAAAATTCTCAATAACTTTATTTCTTTTTTAGTCTTCTCCCACTCCTTTAATATGTCGTTGCATTTACATAATTAACAATAGTAGTCCATCACATATCTCTACAATATGCCTCCTGATTTTATCAAATTAAGGTGACATACGAAGCTCTTTAAGAGAAAGGATATTGCAAAATAGATCCCAATTCAACTTTCATTTGGATCTAGCAAAATCATTTTATGGATATAGTTATACCTATAGAAGAAGTTATCCTTGAAATTCAGATTGAAATGCCTAGTAGTAAGCAATATGCGACTTTCAGAATTTCGGTATGGAAAACATCTTCGGATATCATTCCAAAGTCGATTATCTTAAATGTTATCCAATACAATTTTTCTGAGAATTTATTTGATGGGAAAGTATCAAATCACCTCTAAATGCATCAGTTGCACTTTTTGGAGGAATGAAGATGGAACCAATGCCACTCTTAACAGCTTGAAGAGTACAAAAATTTCAAAATTTTCTTGGAAGAAGAAAATAGAGCACAAATTACTTGAACTAAACAACACATAATAATCAAAACTATATTTGCATACACTAAACCAACGACCCAAATTTACAAATGCATTTAATAACTTCTTCCAATCAGGGGCGGAGGGAAGTGTAAGCTTTGGGGGGCCTTGGCCCCCCTCCCCATTTTTTTAATACTATATATGTATTAATTTTTTTAAAAAATATTATATATAACTTTAAAATTTTGTTGTTACTTCCAAATATTTGGCCCCCTCTCACTTAAATTAATCTTACAAGTTAAGTTATAAACTTCTTCATCTTCTCAACTTCTCCAGTTTTCTCCCATTTCAAATTATGTCTTCCCAATATTGATGATAATCAAATTAAACCCCATTTAACCTACCTACTACTGTCTCTCTCTAGAACCATATCTATGTGTGTGTGTGTGACATATACGCTATAACAAGATAATTTGTCATTAATAAAATCTATGCATATTTTTCAAGTTAATTTTTGCTTTTTATTTGTAACTACTTGTTTGGTTAATTTTTGTTTCATATTCTATTGTTTATCTTAAATAGTTGTTTTGTTTGATTCTAAATATATAATAGATATCAAGGTGCATTTATTTGGTTAATTATGCAGATTTGTGGTTATGTGATAAATTTTGTATTTAATTAAAAATGCATAATAATGTAACAATTGTGTAGTATATGTATTTGAGAAAACAATTGCTATTATGTTATATTGTGAAGAGAGTTTTTCAAGAAATAATCAATAGTCTTTTAAAATATGTTGTGAATGTTTCATTCTTTCAACGTACAAAGCAATATAATGAAAAACATATTGCAAAATAATTTAATATAGATTCAATTGTAAATGATTTATTCTAAACTTTATTAAATCTATAATGTAATGATTACTTTGAAATATGTTAACTGGATATCAATGTATTTGATTTAGTACTTCAATCGTAGTTGGCCCCCCGCACTATTCAATTCTGCCTCCTCCCTTGCTTCCAATCAAATGATCTTGCAATTAAGGCAATCAAAGATTTCAAATAAACTAAAAGACTTAACAACTTTTTTACAATTTCCTTAGAGTCCCACATTGATCCTGTAACTCCAGAATCTAGAGCATTAGTATGTATATTACATGGGGGCAATAAAACCTCCATGAGGCCATGATAGAATTGGTTATAAGTTTGATTTTTGGCAATATTCTCTCGGTTAAGCCTATTACACAGGGTACTCCTAGTGTGGTTTACCTCACACCTCTCATGTGTGATTTGCAAGCTATTACGAGAGAGCACTATTTACTTAATGCTTACCCTCAAATAGTGATTACAGATTCACGAGTCCC